GGAGGGGTCTGTGGGTCAGGGAGGAGGGGTCTGTGGGTCAGCGTCGTCTGAGGAGGAAGCAGATGAATGGAGTTGCACACGGGAACTTTTATTTAAGATTGAAGTTTTTTTATTTCAAAGGTCCTCATGGCTCAGCAGCAGAAGCATAAATATTACTGTTAATAAAGCTGAATAAAAATCTAAGTCTGATGAAGGTAAATTAAATCTCTGACAGTGATCATTGCACAGTGTGGCTCTAATTCTTCACTTCACCATCTGAGTCGCAGTTTCACGTCTCCAAAATGAGCGGACGCTGGTGTGAGGCACCGCACATTTTCACATCAAGTTTGGATTTTATAAATCACAACCTTGGCGTAAAAAGTGGCGTACGCAAGTTTCTGGGCTCAAATTGTGCGTACGCCAGTTTTATAAATCCGACCCCTGAGGAGTAAAATCATACCTGACTGGAGGCACTGTTAAATTCTGAACTAACCTAACAAATGAGAGAAAAACAAATAGTTGAAACATGATGATGGAGCTTTCACAGGTTTTACAGTTCTTCTGCGGCACAACAGTTCACCAGGGACAAGTTTTCAGCAAACACTTTTTTGCTGCTTGARAAAGTGGTGGAACACATCTCTGTGTTCTCCCCATTTAGACGCTGATTTATTTATTTAGCGCTGAAGGAGCAAGCTGGTGACGTGTAAAACTGAACCTGTAAATGTTGTTGTTTAAACTCCTTTTTGTCGCTCCACAGTTTCGGGTGGTCACTGCTCCTTTTCATCATGTTGGCTTTGCTGACTTCTGGCTGGCTGACCAGCTGAACTCTCTGGTGGTTGTTCTGATGGATCTGGAGTATATGATCTGTTTCTACAGTTCTGAGCTGATCTGGACGGAACGTGACGGACTAATCCGTGACACCTGTGAGATCTTACACTGTCAGTATTGATTGTGTGGTTACAAGCTGTGAAATAAAGCAGTGTTGTTAAATGTTCTTGTGTTCAGCAAACAGCATGTGTCACACCTACTCCTATGGCATCCGTGCTGTCATCAAGTGTCTTCCTGCGTGGTTCCGATTCGCCCAGTGTCTGCGACGTTACCGGGACACCAAACGGGCTTTTCCTCATCTGGTTAATGCTGGAAAGTACTCTACGTCCTTCTTTGTGGTCACCTTCTCTGCCCTCTACAGCACACACAGAGGTAAACTGGGATCTTAGACTCTACTCTTAATAACAACTTGATTTGTATGAACAGAAACTATCACACTAAACCAGACTTATCCACATTATTCCCATGGCCATCAGGCCTTGCATGAGTAATATGGGTGTCCTGGTACTGCTACTGGTATTGTGTTGTTCTGAACCAGCATTTTTTACAAGTACTTGTACTCAGTCTAGGTCTGTTGGCCTGTAAGGATGGAGAGCCACCTTGTTCTAATTAAAGAAGTGTGTTTTTAAAGTCGTTATGTAATATTTAAGTTCTACCTCAGGAAGTACTCTATATTAGTACTCATTGTATGAGTACCAAAACTGAAGTACTTGTTCTCATACTCTGAGGAAAACTGGTATCGGGACACCCCAACGAAAAGTGTCATTACTCTGCCTTGGGCAAGGAAAAAAAAAAACGATGGTACATCTGTTCTCACACAGTACACAGTCTAACTCCTTCCCACTTGACTATATTGGGCTAATATTACGTTAAGGTTTACAGTGGTACCTTGACTTAAGAGTGTCCTAACTAACGAGTTTTTTGAGATACAAGCAGTCTCAGATATATTTTTGCTTTGAGTTGAGAGCTAAAATTTGGGTTACGAGTGAACTTCACACATCCCACCGCTAGATGGCGCTACAAACGCAGGAGTGAACACCGCAACAGGTGTTCACTGTCTCAGTTAGCTTTAAGCAGTTAGCTCGTGGTTAAAACATTTGTGTTCCACCCGCAGTTATTTTTATAAAACTTCACGAAGCAGCTTTTGCCAACTATGGGACCAAAAAAGGTRAGAGCAAAGGATGGCGCTGAGAAAAAGAAGCGGATGATGTGCATTGAACTGAAGAAAGAAATTATTGAAAAACACCAGAAAGGTGTGTGTGAGCGCAGTACTTCCACAGTCTGCACCACATTGAAGTAGTACCTTTTACAGTGTACTTACCTAATAAAACTACTGTAGTTCATTGCAGAAAATACATTCTGTTCTGTATTTTTATTCAATTTTTGTTATTCATAATGATTTTACTGGAATAAAACATGTAACAAAAAATAGTAGTGTTTTTTGGGGGTCCAGAACAGATTAAGGGCTTTTCAGTTTATTTCTATGGGGAACACTGATTTGACATACTGTACAAGTAATTTGATTTTAAGAGCTCCACCTCAGAACAAATTAAACTTGTAGCTCAAGGCACCACTGTACATACATTCCCTGTTCAATTCCAGTTCAAAAGAGCACATTAAAAAAATTACAAATATTCMCTCTTCAAACCCTCCATCAACATCGGTGTACCTCTGGGTTTAGATGGTTTTATCAATGCTGCCAAATTTAACTGTTTATGGTTTGATTAAAGGAGAGGATCTTAATTGCTAAATTGACCCTTTCTGAGCCCACCCTCTCCAGTTTTGTGCTTCAATCAAAGTCAAAGAAAGTGTTTTAAACCTATTAGAAAGAATTTGTTGTGATCCCCTGGAGCTTTTTAAATTCAGGTAAATGATAATATTCTTTCTTTTTGTCACATATTAACCATACCTACGCTTGCATTGATGCAATTTTCATTTTTTGTTACTAGAAAATTAATTTATTTAATATCTCACTGTAAATATGACTATCATGGGCCATGCTTCAGTTTTCATTAATATTTATTTTCAGAAGTGTACTCATTCTTGACTACTAGACACACTTCTACAGATAATGAGTTTTGCCCTATTTGCACAGGATAAGCA